AATTACACTATATTAACTATTAAATGTAAACAGACTCCTTGATATTAAAGTTTTCTTATTTACTGATTTTATTTTATAATTCAATGTAATCTGAATTGTAAAGCATGATTTTTATTTTTTATAAAAACAATAATAACAACTAATGGACTAAGTTTATTATCTAAAAAGTAACAGTGATTTAACTAATTAGATTTATAAATTCTTCAATTATGAGATGAATGACATATTTTTAAATAGACGAGTAAAAGATTAATCTCAACATTCATGCTGACACAAGGAAAGATACATGTTCTAACATGTAATGGGTTTGCATTGATCTCTTTCTCAGCACTTGCTAGCATGTATTGCATTTCCATATAATATATCTAACACAATAGAAGGATCATATGCACAAGATAAATGCATGGAGCCGATCTTATTGAAGAGTATTTAATTTTCTATGGAGTACTGCTTCATTCCGTGGTAATTTCTTCTTCATCACTGTCGATTCCTGTTAAAGTTGTGGTGTCAAAGCTGCAGCAGTGGGAGCAAATTGAAAGACATGAGAGCTGCAACATGACTGCACAGCAGCAGCAAACTGACAACAGCATGAAGCTGCACATGGGCTGCAAAATGGCAGCAAATCTTTTAAATGTAATCTTGTTTTAAATGTTTGATAGATTTTCTTGCATTAGGTAAAATATTAGGTAAGAAATTATTTTTTATTATGTTTTTTTTGCTATAAATATAGCGAAATGTCAATGATATTTCTGAGTTGAAGTAATATACTTTTTCTCCATTTTCGTTTATGCTCCTCCTGGTTTTCTCTCCATTTTTAGTTGAGTCCTGCTCTTCATCTTCCTACCGATGTTCTCTCCATTTTCTTTGTGAAAAACATGAACAATTCCCACCCAGTTGATGAAGCAAAGAGGAATTCTCTGAAGCTGACCTCCCCCTTCTTGACCCAATCCATTTCCTCTGTATTCTGCAATAGACAATTCTGAAGCTCCGTAAGGATATTGAGCTATCACGGGATTAATTCAGGTCGTGTTGTTACTTGTTATCTCATTCATTCTTCAACCACCCGTGTTAAACACTTAAACCCATCTGCAATGGAAGAGGCATTTTTGCTAATTAGAAGTTGGCGCCCTCTTTCTAGATTTCTAGTAACAGCTATTGTGCCTATCGATCTGTAAGCTCTACCTTGCTCTCTAGTAAAGTTTGTTGTATACAGGCTTGAAATTTGTTCTTCGTAATGTCATTTGTAGCTTGATGAGCGAAGGAGTAGCACTAGCAAGACCTCTATTATGCTCCAACCTTGTTAAGATGTAGGAG